TGACTAGTGATGTACCTAGGAGAAATTACCTGACTTTCATGGGACTTGGTTTCTTCACCTGGAAACCACTGCCTGGTACATGGGTGTCACACAACAAATGTTAATGTCCTTTCTCATGATTCTGTCACCTGTCCAATCAGCTGGACTCCGGTTCTCTCTTGAAGAGTGACTTTCCAATTTGGATGACCATTTTGGAGGAGACTCTGTCAACTTCTCTCCCTTTCACATGCTCTTTCTCTCGCTCTCTCTTTTAGACATAGACTCTGCCATATTCAATATTCTATTATGAACTCTGAAGGGTCATTGAGATTATAGGATGGTCAGCTTCATTTTTCTTATTTCTTTTTTAATTTTTCTTATGTCTTTTTTTGTTTGTTTCTTTATTTGAGATGGAGTTTCAAATAAACTCCGCCTAGGCTGTTGTCCGGGCTGGAGTGCAATGGCGCGATCTTGGCTCACTGCAACCTCTGCCTCCTGGGTTCAAGCGATTCTCCTGCCTCAGCCTCCCAAGTAGCTGGGATTACAGGCATGTGCCACCACACCTGGTTAATTTTGTATTTTTAGTAGAGACGAGGTTTCTCCATGTTGGTCAGGCTGGTCTCAAACTCCCGACTTCAGGCGATCTGTCCGCCTTGGCCTCCCAAAATGTTGGGATTACAGGGATGAGCCTGTATCCTGTAATCCCGGCCCCAGCTTCATTTTTCTATGCTCTACACTGACCCATTCTCTTCTGTTAACAGTTTTTCCTCAAATGAGCTATAATAAAATTGATTAGGTTTAGCTATTAATTGTGATATTCTAGTCCTGCCTCCCGTTGATTTACGTTTTAAATATTTTATTTTTGTTTAGACAGAATCTTGCTCTGTTGCCCAGGCTATAGTGCAGTGACACGACCTTGGCTCACTGCAGCCTCCACCTCCTTGGGTTCAAGCAATTTTCATGCCTTAGCCTCCCAGGTAGCTGGGATTACAGGCACACACCACCATGCCTGGCTAATTTTTGTTATTTTTAGTAGAGATGGGATTTCGCC